GACTCTGATTTAACTTAAACCAGGAAGGGGCCTGGGACAGAAGTTTCATAAACTGGTTTGACCCAAATCAGTTAAGTCTGATACTACATTCAACCAGGTTTATCTTAAACCAGTTTCAGCCATTTTGAAACTGGTTTATGTGCACTGAACTTCTGTTCTGTTACAGGTTTAAACCAGTTTCTGATCACTTAACTGGTTTATGTGCAACTTCTGTGTCTAGCCCAGGAGTTCACATTTCCAGGTCATGGATGTGTGCATTAATCATCATTTCTAGCTCAGAATTTTAGGGCTCTACTCTTAGTTTTCAGTATGACAAGATATTAATATTTATTCTTAGGTATTTTCTAATCCCTTTTACCTCTCTACCCATGTCTAACTAATTTTCTTAATTGTCTTGCTAGGAACCTTGTCAAAAACTTTTTGAAAGTCTAAATAAATTAGATCAACCAGTTTCTCTTCATCTGTTATTTTGATGTCATGCTCAAAGAATTCTAACAGATCAGAGAAGGATCATTTTCCATTGCAAAGGCTATGTTTGCTTCTTTTTATCATATGTTAATGTAGGCTCTTTTTTAATTATTCTATTTTTAATTATCATTTCAATCTATTTACCTGATTCTGAACTAAGATCCATATTTAAAATAAATGGCTCAACCTTTATTAATCTTCAGTTTTTTAGTACACTTTATTTTAGTAAAAGACTGCAGTGGCACAGCTTCTCAAAGGCTTGCCACTGTGGTACACCACAGCCATATGGCTTTTCCTGAGCACAGGCACCCAACCCACTGACACAGATACTTTCAGATAGAGAATGTATGCCAATGACACTACTCTGGGGCCACTCCAGAGCCTTCCCTAGTAGCTGCCCTCAAGTTCAGGGACATCAAGGTCTTGAGAGAGACCACAGAGGATAGTGTGTGGGATGGCCCATCTAGAACGAGCCACTTGCATGGTATAGACATGCCCTGAGTTACCAAACGTAACATTTGATCCTGGTTCCTTTTTTTTTTGCCTCAGTCCTCACTATAGAGGATGTGGCAGGGCACTGTTTGTGCCTGCCACTTTAAGGGCTGGAAGCCAGCAGCCAGCAGGTGCCTGATTGGGGCAGCCATTTTAGATTCAGGGATGCCCATATAAACAGGGCTATGCTCGTCTCCACTCAAAGGCTTGCTCCCGAGCTGCCTTTGCCCAGGCAGCTGACCTTGTTCACCAGGGAACGTCGCGTAGACCCCAGAGGGTACCTCAATTACCTTCGAGGTGACCCCCAAACTCGCCTGCCATGACTTTGGATGGTCTTTCAGTAAAGGGCACCTTTGAGGGTGCCTCCAGAGTGGTCACACGTCCCGGTGGATGTCTCCGGGGCTCCAACCTCCCCTACACCCCGGCCATACGCCAACCTTCTAGACAAGCCTCAAGATCTTTAGCGGCTATTCCCCGTTGATATCTTTCTGGTCCCCACGTCCTTCCTCGCTGATGGGCACCTCGGGCTCTGACTGGACCCAGAGGGTCTGGTGACATGTGGTCTTTGGAGAGGTCCCTTCCGATGCCCCGTGCTATCTACGGGAGATGCCGCTGTTCCTCTTCATGCTCTCTTGTGGTCTCTTTCCCGCTTTTGACCGGGGTCACTGCTACCCCAGCCTGGGACAGAGGGCTATGCTAACCTGCACTAGACAGGAAACTAAAATAGAACAGCCCAAGAAAGGAAAACACAATCGAATACCTTCACCAATGTAAAGCCCCAGGCCCCAGAAGCAACCCGACATGAAAAACAAAACTGATACCCCGACTACAAGAACAATGAGACAGGGAAGGACAAAACAGACAAGGGGAATCACAGGAAGCATCCCACACTCCCTTAGTCCCCTAATTCCCCTAAGCAAGCGCACCCTCAGGGTCGGGGTCCACGCCTCCAACCCAGTTGGGGTCTCCTTCTACCCCACTGGGACCTGCCTCTGCCCTGTGGCTGCAGCCCCCGTTGACTCTTGTAAGCGCTCCCATGCCAGCTCTCCCTGTTGGCTCTTTTGATCCCCGCTGGGCTTCTCCGGCACAGGGATTCCCCGCAGCTGCTGCCGCCACCACCGCTGCTGCCTTCCCTCCTAGCATCTTCAATCCCCGCCAATCTTCCCGCTCGGGGATCCCTTGCAGCTCCTGCTGCCTCCGCTGCTGCCACTGCTGCTGCCGGCCTCCCTGCCAGTGTCTTCAATCCCCGCCAATCTTCCCCGACTTGGGGACCCTTTACAGCTCCTGCAGCCACCGCTGCTGTCGACTGCAGCGCTGGACACTCTCCATCCAGCAGTTCCCTGCCGGGTCTCTGGCCCTCGGCGTCCCCACTCCTGCACTTTCTGGGCTTATTTTTATCATCACTGGGTGATACCTCGTTACATCACCCGGCCCCAGCTGGAGATGGGTGTGATTGATAAACCACTCGGGCGGTTTTCCATGGCATGCCTCCTCATTGCTCTGGGCCCCTGCAGCAGGTTTGTTTTTTTTTCTTTCTTTGATCTGGGGTCTGCCTCTGACTGAGGCTTCCCCCTTGCCTGACCTGTGTCCCTGTGACAAGGGCATTTTGCTGCTGGGAGGCCAGGCAACAACATTGCCTGGCTGCAGGGCTGCTGGTATCATCTGGAGGTAAGGGAGGAGCTGTAGGGGATGGTCAGGAGGCTCCTGGTCCTGGGTATGACCTAAAGCTCCACCCTGCCAGGAGTGGGTGGCCTGGTGGGGCTCTTAGTGGCGCGGGAACCCCAGGAAATACCAGGCCAGTTACCACCCCGGTGAAAGGTAGGTTAGGGCACCTTAACCTCTAGCCCCCACAACCGGGTGGGTTACCCGCTTTGTAGGGTCTGGAAGGTGGACCCCAGTGAGAGAGTGGGGCCATAGACTCACAGCTGTCTGGACGTCCCCTGACTGGTCAATGCTGGGGCCAGGACTGGAAGGGTCAAAGGGCCAGGGGCCCACTGTGAGGAACGCCCAAGAGCTGAGGGCCTGGCATTCCGACTGGCCTGGAGGTGGGCCAGGGCTAGTAGCCAAAGGTCCTGTGGGGGAACACACCCGTAAGGGGGAAGCAGTTCAGGGAGCTATGCTGCCCAGGATGAAGGTGGAATAGGCCGTCTGAGGAGAGGAATCCAGGCAGGGTTCAACTAGTAGAATTCTGGGGCCCAGTGTGGGGGCTGGTGATATTGATAACATCTCGATGCCATCTGCGAGGCTTGGGCTGCGGTGTAGGGGAGGAATGGGGCCGCAGAGAGCGCCCCCTGGCATCGGGGCAAGAAATGGGAAGCCTCCTGCTTAATTTACAGCAATTAATTAATTACCAACAAGGCATGGTGGGTGAGAAGGCAGGCGGTTAGCCCACAAACAGGAGGGCAGGCCACTGCGAAAATTGGCCCCAAGAAGGCCCCCCTGTTACAGAGGATGTTGGGAGAGGGGTTACTAAAGTGGAGGTATCAAAAGGAGGTCACGGAACAAATTTAAAAAAAAAATATATAAATAAACCAGGATCAAATGACATGTTTGGTAATTCAGGTCATGTCTACACCATGATAGTGGCTTGTCTTAGATGGGCCATCCCACATACACAATCTTTGTCTCTGCAATAATTCCTTCAGAAACTCTCCCTTTATCCCTTGATAGAGTAGTAGATCCACAGGTGACCTCATAAGCTTCCTATTTCTGACATGTCTGAAGAACGTCTTATTATTCTTTTTAGGCCTTTGTCTATATGCTCTTCAAATTCCCTCATAAACCATCTAATTAACACCTTACATTTTCCTTCCATAGTTTATGTTCTTTTTATTAGCTTCACTTTGTCTGGATTTACATTTTGTGAAGGATACCTTTTACTTCAAATAACTTTTTGCCCCTTGCTATTTAGCCATACCGATTTATTCTTGTATTTTTTATATTCTCTCTTGGAAAAATCTATAGACCAAATCTATTTTTATACTCTCTTTAAACTATGGATGCAAAAAAAAATGACAATTAATAGCAGGCATGTGAGATGATTTATATGTTTCCATACCTTATTTTCAAACCAAAAGATATATAAACACATCACAAGTACCAACAATATATACTTTCAGATAGAATAATATTCTTTTTATTCTCAAGTATTCCTTCATGTGCAGCATTGATTTAAATGGAATAAAGCTTCTTCAAATAAAATTAAATAAATAGTAAATTAAATAGTAAAATTAAACTACTGCATGACATTTTCATAGACAAAGCACCTGTACAGATGATTCTTTTATATCAGTGGAAAAAGAAAGAAGCCGACTCTTTTACATGACAGTAATTGCTAGAACTGATTGTAGTGCTACCCCTAAAGAAAAACTCACCAGTGTAAGTTACATCCATGTAGGCATCCTAGCTAGGTACCACCATTCAAAAAGCCCAAGGCAGAACTGATCCAACTAATGTGGTTTTCTGGAAGTGGCATTGTTCAGATCGGTACTGAACAGAGCACACACACATCCTTTTTAGAGGGAAGGGGGTAGGTAAACCTTAGACCAGGTTTTGCCATTTTTAAACCAGTCTATGCATGACAAACATCTGATCTGTTATGGGTATAGACCAGTTTCTGATCACTTGTACTGGTAAAAAAAAAAAAAAAAAAAAGGTGTAATGTCTGTACCAGGCAACTGTGTGTATAATCAACCCAGATAGTAATTTGCTTAATGCAAACAGGCTATTACTTGCTCATCTCTCACCTAGTGGAGAGGGTCTGTAAAAGCCCTAATGGATCAAGTACCCTGAGATAATGCATTATCCATTCATTCTATAACCCAGTGTAGTCTACACTGCTGTAATTTTTTTATATAAATTACATAAGGGTTAAGCAATACATCCTGTGGCCTGACACAATATTATTTCCTTTATAAGTTTTATTTTTCTTATTAAGTATTCATTTCAAAGTCACAAAGAGATAGAGAATGCATGTTTGTTGAGGTTTGACTATCTATACAAAATTCATTTACTATAATTGGATTTTACTGATTTCCTACCAGAATAAAATGATTCTAATATTTCCCTTCTTCCAGAAAGCTCTGGCAGACTTTCCCCAGTCAGGATAGGGCTTGTCCTGAAGCATCATATCAGTAACCTAGAGGAAAAGGAGGAAATAATTCAGGATTAAATAAATGTCACAAATGCAAGTGGTAATTAGGATTTAAAAGGTACATTCTTAGATTACTAACTTGTTTCATTCTTGATCAAGATAATCAACATTTGTAATGATAATTGCATTTGGCAATCTGGACCAAAATAATTTGCAGCTCTATTGTTAAGAATCTACTTGAAGCAACTATTCTGCCCCATAGAACTTTTGTACATATTAGCTAGAGATATCAGAAGGCTCTTGCATGGCCAAGCATACAAGGAGGACAGGAGCTAATCTAAATGAGCAAATTGCTTGTACCGTCTTCATCAAAATTATGAAGATGTAGCATAAACAGGGTTTAGGTTACTTTCTAGATATGGTTATGAAGCAAACACATATTTCTATTCCAGTCCAATCAGGGACACAGTTCCAAGTTTGGTGATAGCACTGTCAAGAGATTTTTGGCTCTTGATATCTGAATTAGAGTCCAGCAGAGTAAAGCCAGGGAAGCATATGTATTAAGGGCCATATGTCCCTTTGTTCTGTGTGCCTTTTTCATTGGCATCAGGGATCAAGAACAGATCAAGAGGTTGTAAATGACCCTAAAACTTGCATGTTATTTAAAATTTGAAATGCTAATTCTAATTTTCAGTACTTGTATCTAAACAGACCATCTGTCAAACTCTGCTGAGAGACTCACATGTATACTCAAGTTTTGGATGATTTACAAAAAACAAAATTCAAAATAGGCCTGAACTAAAGGGATGGCATTTGGATATACCCCCATCTTTGGAGATGCTAGAAATCCATATCCATTTTTTTCAGATTAACCCTACTGAAAAATACTGCATAGTTATCTTGTCCACTGTTATGCAAAAGATTGAACAGTATGGAAAACACATATGTAAACAAAACAACACTACTAAGTCTGTATACAGCCTTTGCTATAAAATATGGATGAAGAAAACAAAAAACTTATCTGCCACAATCTTCAGCATGTATTTTTTAAATACTGTTAATTGTTTTGATAAATGTGGAAGTAACACTTTGAGTTCTCAAAAGATATTCCCACGTTTTATTAATTTTGAAGAGAAGTCAGTTTTACAAAGGAGTTCTTATTTTCAAAATAAAATCAACAAGAAAATAAAATGCAATTTAATTTTGTCTTCGAAAGTGTGAATTACTACTTTCAATCAATGATGTTTAATAGTTTTTACCAAAGGAATAAACAGCCCCTGATTAAATTTAAACCACATATAAATTAAAATTAACTCCTAATACTATGGGGTTAAAAGTGTTTGGCTTAGCAGCGCTGGGTCCTAAATGATGATGACTCTTTCAATGATACATAGTATATAAACAGAAGTACACACCTTGGGATTCTATGATTTTGTCAAATTTATCTTGAATGAAGAATGGATTATATCATGAAATGCTACTTATTCTAATTGTTTTCTTTAGGTTAGTTTTAAAAATAATATCACATCACCATGTTATGACAGTTTTTATTTTAATAAGACCCCAAGTTTAACTAAATAAATATTTGGATAATTACCTAATGCTTAACAAGGCCCCTTTACATATTTAATTAATTCCATTTAGCAATACTTACCCAGGTCAGGAGGATGTGTTCTATATAGTAATGAATATTTGTAAGACAAAAGATGATTACTTGGTTAGTTTTATTCAATTTTCAAAATGTTTTCTCAGGGGCACTTTCTGGGAACTACTTATTAAATTTGTTAGAGGGATGCAATCTGCCTCTGTATGGCCAATTACTACAGCAGCCTGCTTTATAAGAATGACATTCAAGTAGGGGACATTTTCTGAGGAAAATGGCAAGCTGAGGCAGGAAATGTTCTTTCTGGTATCAGACAGCTGGTTTTTCATTTCTTAGCTCTGGCATTTATTTTAAGTCATATCACCAGATCAATGTCAGGTCACTTGCAGCTAAATTGGCAGCAGCAAGACGGTCATTAAAGGGATGCATTCAATAAAGAAAAATCCAATTACCTTTTGCATTAGAGAAATCAAATTCATTTTCTGGTGTTGGTCAAGGACAGTCATTGTGAAAGAGGGTGCAGTGAAGGAAGGTACCCAGCACTGTCACAATACAGATAATTTTGTTTGAATAGGATCAATATAAGATCAAAAAATTGTTTCAGATTCCAACAATGTTGGCTGGAAAAATAAGTTGAAGTTTTCCTTGTTTTATTCCTTGTTTATTGTTTTATACTAGTAATAGTATAAAAGTTTGTATATGTATATATATACACATAGTGTATGGATAATAGTTATATGTAATATATATACATGTTTATACATATATATACACATTTATACATATGATAGACTATATATACATATTATATATTATTAATATATATTCTAGTATATATAGTATATAATATCATTATATTATATACTGTATATTCTTATTATATACTATTCTATTGTATACCATAAACTATACTACTCTTCATACCTCAAAAATCCAACTAACTTCCTGGCAAACATTCCTCTATACTGTTAGACAATTTGGAAATACTCTGAAGATACTGTAGAGTTGCTATTCACTACCCAAATACTTCAGTCATTCTTGTTTTGGTGTCCAGTATAATCAAGATGAAATGGGAAGAGTGACTGCAAAAATTATTGTTTTTTTACTGACAATTTTTCCTCCAAAGTTAAATAAGTAGGTACTAAGAAAAATTGGGTACAATGACTAAATTTTAAACAATTTTTTAAATAATACATTTATAACAGAATTCCTGTATTTCATTTAATGTTCCATTAGGAAAATGATTATTTTCTAACGATATTTGGAAACTGCAACTATTACATTGTGTGGCTAAATGATTTTTTTTAAGTTAGCAAGAAGATAATCAGGTGCATGTTCAGTAAAAAAATAATACTGGCATTTCTTGTACGACCTTATGGAATCATAAACTGTCCATTTCCAAAGTTGAATAGTAATGTGAATGTACACTATAGTAACTTGCAATGCATTGCTGATACATTGCTCTTTATCATTTGGTCTATGTTGCAACACTGTCAGCCACAAATTTTATTAGAATAAAAAACTGATATCTAAAATCATAGCATCATATGCTGCAATCACACTTGGGCTAGAGACAGAAATTACATGCAAACTGGTATGTGATTGGAAACTGGTCTAAACCTGTAACAGAACAGAATTTCAGTGCTCACAGACTGATTTTTAAAAAATCCAGTTTATGATAGACCTTGATGGACATAGTATCAGATTTACTCACTTTAGGTTGGACTGGTTTACCGAATTTCTGTTCAAGATCCCCTCCCAAAACAGATGAGGTCACAGTCCTCCAGTATCCCAGGATGCTATGCAGCCCCCCCACTTTGCAGGGTTGGGGGGCTAGCCTCTGCCCCAGCTCATCTGCTCTGGCTGAGCTGTGTGGCCCCACCCCTGGCTGTCACAGAGCTAAGGCAGAAATGACTCTTCTCCCCAGCCCAGCTGGTAGCAGCATGGGGGGCAGGCAAGGCAGGGGGAAAAATGGATCCCTTCCCCAGCCCCAGCACCACCCCCGCCTCAGCCAGGGTGTGCACAGCAGGTGTAGGAAGCCCCTGTGGCAGGAGCTTTTTCCCTCCCCACAGTCTGACTTTGCTGAGCTGAGAGCACCCCAGCCCTGCCTCTTTGTCAGCCCCCCACCTTTCAACTGTGAGGGAAACAGACTCCTGTTCCAGCCCCCTCCCTTCTCCCCCCCCCAGCTGGAGTCTGCACAGCAGGTAAGAGGAAGCCCCTGAGGGAGGGGCTTTTCCCTCCCCAGTCCAGCTCCACTGAGCCCTCCCCACAGTCTGACTTTGCTGAGCTGAGAGCACCCCAGCCCTGCCTCTTTGTCAGCCCCCCACCTTTCAACTGTGAGGGAAACAGACTCCTGTTCCAGCCCCCTCCCTTCTCCCCCCCCCAGCTGGAGTCTGCACAGCAGGTAAGAGGAAGCCCCTGAGGGAGGGGCTTTTCCCTCCCCAGTCCAGCTCCACTGAGCTACGAGCAACAGCAGGTGGGGGAGCAAAGCCCCCCACCTCAGGGGCTTTCCCTCACCACTTGCTGTGCCGCCCCTGGCTGGGGGGTGGTGGCAATATGAATGGAGGGGTGTTCCCCTCCCCTCCGCAGCTGAAAGGTGGAGAGCTGGTGAGGGGCCAGGACAGAGGTTATAGCAGCCTGGTGGAGCTGGGAGGCATGCAGAAACACCTCTCACCTGCACTAGCCAAGGCCAGAAGGCATCTGCCTGCCTTGACCAACCAAAGAGCATGAAAATTAATTCCATTCATTAATGGTCCACTCTACACAACTGAGAGAAACCTGCATAGATTGGATTGATTCTGCCTCAGGCTTTTTGACTGTATTTACCCAAAAGCAGGAAACCAGCATTCACAAGTAGTATCCAGGATAAATAAACCAATGTGAATTAGATGCAGATATATATATATATAAAAGGATACTAAACATCAAATAAGTATCATTTCTCAACAAGTTTTAATGAGCTATTCTACCGCTAACCAGCCAGACTGTTAGTAGAGAGCAGATACATTGTGAGTATAAATACACTTTCCTGCTTTGATATGTTAAGATTAAAAGTGCCATAGGCAAGTAAATTATTATTTAATTACTCATTATAATTGCATCAATTTTTATCCACCATCCTCACCGCTGGTTAAACTATTTCTTTCTTTTTCTAGCAGGTACGATAGAAAGAAAAACTGTTATGCAATTTTGCTTTTTGAAAGGTTTCTTCACAATGGTTACATACTGCGCAGTGTGTGTGACTTGTACATTTTTCTAGCTCTTAATTTTTTTTTACCTAAGCAGCCCCTGGTAACAAGGCAATATGCAATGTAAGCTCCATACTAAATATAAATCCTGCCTTTTTGAGCAGTCTAATCAGTTCATTTGAGTGAGTGGGAGATGAAGGTCCCAGAAGCAAATGTCTTAATTCATAATGATCAACATAAGACTAAAACTCATG